GTGGGAGCTGCTTGCAGGGTGGGAGCGGAGGCAGGTTGTGGAGGCCAAGAACAGAGCCACGGCGGGCAAGAGCCCAGTGGTACTCCCTTAGTGGGACTTACGTGGTAAAAGGAGTAGTAATGTGGGGATGCCACCCAGGTGTTAAGCATCCGACTCTTGGTTTCAGCTCAGGTAATGATCTCAGGGTCGTGAGATCGAGCCCTGCGTTGGGCTCTGGGCTCTGGGCTCTGGGCTCAGCGCAGAGTCTGCTTGGGACTCTCCTCTCCCTTTCCCACTGTCCCTCCACCCCCGCACCTCTAAAATAAATAAATAAATCTTTCAAGGGAAAAATAAAAAGGAGAAGCAGTGTGCAGGAGCAGGGGTTCTCCTTCCCTCCAAGGGTGCGTGCATGTGCAATCCCTCGCCAAATAATGGCACAGACTTGCCTTTTCCTTTCCTCAGATCTGCTCCAGGCCCACAGAAGAGCAAGAATTGCAGGTAGAGGTAGGTAGAAGGAATGAGAGTTGCAGGCTGAGCATCTGGACATAGAGCTCCATCAAGTAAAGTCCTAGTGGTGTCACCTGCCTCTGTCTACCCAGGTGAACTCTTGTGTGGACACGCACCCACTCTTCTTACCTGGAACAGCTTGGAATAGTGGAGAAAGCATGTGTTGGGGGGAAGACAGACCAGCTTTGAGTCAAGCTACAGGCATATTATTAACCTTCTTGAGTCCAGGTTTCTTTTTCTGCGAAATGGGACGAGGCATTGCTGTAGGCAACTGGGGAAAGTCATTAGATTGTATTGTTTACTTTTGGGAGTGCTCAGTGAGAAGAGGGGAATGATAAGTAAGAGAGTCCATGTATGAGAGGACTTTGTTACTTGTGGAAAATTGCCTTTGGGAAAAGATAACCTACTTGTCATTAACAAGCATTTGGGTAGAATCTGCATACCAGTTGGATTTTGTCATCGTTTTATTTGGCTACAATACTAAACCCTTTTTGGCTTAGTAGCATTATCGGCTCTCAATTTTAAGAAAATTTCCTGAGAATCTTGGGTTCTAAGAGTCTTCCAGAGGCTTTGTAGAAGATACAGTCACTGCTCCTGTTCATGTGGTCCGTCTGAGAGAGAAACTGTTTTATTATTGGTGAGAGAACTCATTTTACTTTCATCTTTTTCTTACATTATTCAGTCACAAAACCTCTCTGTTATGCCTGTGTGCATTGGCATCCATCTCCGTGCTTCTGCAAACACCTGCAAGTGGGAGGCAGCCGGGAAAAGAGCAGACCCTGGAGGGTAATTAGCTTGCCTGTGGGTGGGTGGGATGTTGGCGATGGGGCCCTTGATTTTCAGGCCACTCTCCCCTCTGGGCAGTGTCGCCGCCTGGAGGGGACACCCTGGGAACGGAAAAGGGCTGGAGTGGGGTCCATGCAGCTGTGGGTGGGCAGTTCCCAGTCAGCCAGGGGGTGGGCATCCTGCTCACTGTTTCCACCACAAAACACAAAACCCCTTCTAAGCGGCTTAGGAATGGTGAGAGGCAGAGCTGGCCTGGCTCCTTGCAGGGCTGCTGGACCCTTTTTCTGTTTGAATAGGCAAAGAAAAAGAGGCATTGTTATGGTGACACGATCTTGCTCAGTATTCTGAGAAAATAAGAGGGGAGCAGAATTAGACCTGGAAAGGTCTGGTACGTGTATCTGTGAATGTAGTGTGTGTGTGTGTGTGTGTGAGTGTGACTGTGTGTGTCTGTGGCTGGGTGTAGCGGTCAGTGTGCACGTGTGTTCTGAAGCTGGCGGGAAATCTGTGGATACGATGAGTAAGGGGTGTCCCAGCCCCATAGCCGTACTCTGGGTGGTCAGCCAGGGGAGCGGTGTGAGCATTTCGGAAATGTTGCCTTTGTTTTCACGAAAAGGGTGGATAACACCATCAAAATTGAGGAATTCCAGTTTTAAGCACCAGGCTCCAAGACGGACTGCTTCGTGGGCTTGCTTCATGGATGTGCCTGCCCAGCTTTGGAGTGGCACCTGGTTTGAGACCCTTCCTGAGCTTGACTGTGAGACTGCAGTGTGAACAAATCGACTCTGGCGATGTGCCCAGCCTGCCAGGGGAGGGAGGGAGGTGGGTGCCGTTGGAGAAGGACGTGTGTCTGGTGGAGAGCCCAGGGCGGAGCCAAGCGTCTCACCCAGATGTCTTTTTCTTTCTATGATCTGTGGTCATAATTAGTATTAGTAGGTGGTTGATACTTAAAATGAAATATGGCCTTTCTTAATTTTAGAGCAAATAACAACACAAATAAATTAGCGCTCAAATTAGCATAGTGCGCGGCTGGGTGAAGCATGCATAACTGCTGAGAAACAACTGGAAATACCACTGGTGGAAGTCTCTGGGATGCGGTTTTTTACCAGTTCCCTGCAATGGACAGAACAAGGCACACGCGGACAGCAGGTTGTTGTTCCAGAGTTGGGATTCAAGAGTTAATGGCGATGCATGTCTCGTTCCAGTCGAGTCTCAGCTGTGATTAGAGCAGCACGGAAAGTGAGTAAAGGCTTCTTCCTGCTGCCTTTCCTCGCAGAGCCTGTCATCTGTAATTTCCAGGTGATAAACGCAGGACTGTTAATGTGAGTGAGTCTTGGGCTTACTTGGGCTTACAGTGTGGGGCTGCCCTTGTCCCTGCGTCCAGCCTTCCTCTGGGGTCTTCTGTGGGCACTGGAAATGCACTGGAATAATCCTGGCCACAGAGAAGGGCGCATGTGGCCCTCTGAGCATCTGGGCCAGCGGGAGGGGTGGCCAGACTGCTTGGGCTCCTCGACAGACCCTTGGTGGTTTGCGCCCAGTCTTCCCCCGGCGACAGTCTCCTGGACTGGAGTGGGGCCTTAAAGGTCAGCCAGCCTGGCCCTGATCGCTCATGATACTGAGACTGGACGAGCCCATCGCCTTTGTCGGGGTCCCTGCTTCTGGGGGAACCAGACTGGATGCAGGTCTTGCTAACTCTCAGTGGTGGCAGGCTGTCTCTTGGATGGTTTTTGGCCGTTTTCCTTCCAGGCCGTTGTACCTTTTCCACCTCACAGGGCCTGGCTCAGGTGCTGAGAGAGAAGGAGGTGTGAGTGAGTGGCCCTGGGAGCAGAGCTGTGTGGCATGGGGAACAGGGACACAGCAGCAAATGGGGTGCTTGGGTCAGTTCACGGGTGAAGAAAGTAGCGAAGATGTGTGTTCCTACCAGACTAAGACATGAAATGATATTTCTCGTGAGATGTTGTTTCAGGAAAGCAGACCCTTTGCTTTGAGTTGGGGCCCGGGGTGGCCAGCCAAGGAGCAGCTCCCTGGGTTTGTGCCCTCCGCCTGCCTTTAGGGCTTCTCCTGGGTAGGGTGGGGACTGTAATATCTTGCTCTTAAAATTGTTGTAAGGGCACAGTGAGACTACTTACTCTCATGAATTCGTGGTAATGCTGTCCCCTGACTCCACTCCTCTGGTTCTGCAGCAACATTTGCTTTTGTAGCCTCTGCAGGTCCTGTTTCTGTGCCGTTCTCAACCCATGTTTGTTTCAGAGAATGCTTCCAACTCTAAGCATTTTAGAGCAATTCCCTAGTGGGCAAATTAATAACCAGGGCTTTACAGTGACCCCGGGGGTGGATTCCTTCATAATGAATAACCTCCTCCTAACCTGCGATTCTCTCGCATGCATCTTGCTGCCCCGGAGCATCTGCCAGATACAGGGGTACACATAGAGGAAATGGCCAAGGATAAAAAGATAGATTTATGTGGTTCCTAATCTTGAGACTCTCCTATTCAAGAGAGGAAGATGTGCCCCTAAGTTGACAATCACAACACATGTGGTAAGTCCTACAGTGGGCACCTGAACGATACTAATCTGCCAGTCTAGTCGGGAGATTCCGTGGGCGACTTCTGAGTGGGGTCTTAGTGGATAAATAGGAATTTGTCAGTTGGAAAAACAGGAATATAGGTATCGTGCTTTGTCAGAAATATGCTCTCAGTGTTGCTAGAAGGCCTGATGTGTTCAGAATACGTCAGGTTTTGTTGGCTTGTGGCCTTCCCCTGGGGTGGGTGTGAATATAGCATCAGGGGGCCTGGGGAGGGTCTCATTTGGGTCTCGATCTCACCCTCCCTTGTTCATATGTTCACCTGACTGGCTCACCCTGTGGAAGGTGGATGTTTCTCTCCATGTCCTTTCTTTTTTTTTTTTTTTTTTAAAGATTTTATTTATTTATTTGAGAGAGAGAGAATGAGAGAGAGCACATGAGAGGGGGGAGGGGCAGAGGGAGAAGCGGACTCCCCGCCGAGCAGGGAGCCTGATGCGGGACTCGATCCTGGGATTCCAGGATCATGACCTGAGCCGAAGGCAGTCACTTAACCAACTGAGCCACCCAGGCGCCCTCTCCATGTCCTTTCTTGATGCACTTGAACACAGGGCAGAATGTCCACCTTCTCTGATCTATCACTACCCCTCTGGGGAGGGTAACTGCATTTGGGGTCGCACTCACTTCACATTCTTGTCTGTCTCTCCTTATGGAGGACAGGAGTCTGCTTCCCTCCACCTTCTTTCTGTGGTCTTGGCGGCACATGCGGGCCATCTGTCCACTTTGGGCCTCACGCAGTGGGTATTAGGCACAGTGTGTGACAGAAAGACCCAGAGGTCCTATTTTAGTGATGATGCTGACAGAGCCCTGTGGGGCTCAGGAGATGTCTACATGGATGGCCCACCCCCACCTCCCTCTGCTGCTCTGGAAGGTGTCCTTGGGCAGACGGCCCCTCCCTATTGCCGGAAGGGACAGGACGTATGCGAGTGTCCTCCCGATGGAGACGCCAGGCCACGTACACTTACTCCCTCTCAATGACTCAAGCCAGGCTTCCAAATTCAGCATCATCTCAGAAAAGCCGAATCCAAAGAGCCTGTGTGGGTCTGCTTTGTTTCTTGGACACTCAGGAGTCGGCAGATGTAATGGCCCTGGACGGCTGCACTGTTGTTTGTAACACTGACTCCTTTCTCTCTTCTGTTTTTCCTCCCCAGGCTGTCTGTTTGAGGACGGCCTCTGCAGACCATCTGAGACCTGTGTGAACGGTAAGTGTGCGGGTCCCAGGTGACACGCGGCTGTGGGTCTGGGTGTGCCTCGACCCTGACAGCCACCGACCGACGGGCTCACCACGTGGAGCCAGCATTCTGGGTGAGGTTCATTTCCTGCAGTGCCCCTGAGGAGAGCTGTGGAGCTGAGACTTCTCTGGGCGTTAGTAAAAGCGTGACGGAGCCGTAATGCAAGTGGAACGAACACACTGTCGATGTGCACGTCTGTGTGTCTGTGTCCACATCTGCGTCCATACCCCAGGACTGACAGCAACTCACCAGCAGCTTTAGAACAGTAGGCGGTGAAATCGGTGCCCTGACTCTGGCTGGACCCACTACATCCCTCAGCTCGGTTTTGCTCCTTCAGCAGGAAGCCATTCATCCTTTAGACCGCCTGTTTCTTCTCTCGTTAGGCAGAGAAAGAAGCGTTTGGTGTTCTGTGTTTTCAGGTAGGGCTCTAAGCCCCCAGGGGACGGGAGTCCTCGGGTAGCCAGGTCAGGAAGAGACAGGCACATCTGCCTCGCTCACAAGGGCTGCCTCTCAGCAGAGACCTGGGGTCCTGTGTGATGGCCGCAGGTCTGGGGCAGTGTGCCCCTTGGTAGTGGCCTTCAAATGCTAAGGGCGGAGTTAGGGTTCAACGTCCGCACAGGGGGTCCGCCCAGGGCGGCTTCTCCTGAAGGCACACTGGGTCTGCAGGAGGCCCGGTAGCTCTGGGAAGACCAGCGTGAAGGGCAGAGACCTGCCTTTCTCTCCAGGTGGTCTGTGCAGTGTGTTTACGGTGCCTCTCACTCCCCCAGCTCTCTGTGCCAACGGGGTGTCCAGCTGGAGCCCGATTCCCAGAGGACTTGGACCCTCTGCACGAGCGAAAGGCGCCTTCGGCCTGACTGCGCGTGAGCTCATCTGGTCCTTGCGGGACCGACACGGGACACCACTGGGGGGTCTGAAAGTCAAAACCCAGTGCTGTGCGTCCTACGGAGAGCACAGCCCTGTGTACCGCACCTGGGATTTCGGTAGCTCATGTGCCCTGGGGACAAATCGCTACAGCTCTGGATAGTTCTGTTTTGTGGGTTGTCTTTTTTTTTTGGCTGTGGAGGGGTTTGGGGGAAGAATTCTGTGCAGCTTGTGCTGATGGAGACCTAGGCTGGAGGGAGAGTGTGTTAGAACCTCCATGATGGCCGGATGTGGAGTTGGTAGCCGCGGGCCCGGCCAGCCTGGGCGCGTCCGACTCTTCCACACGGTCAGGCCTCTCCCTGCGCCTCGCCTCCCAGGCTGCTGGTGATTGTTCCTTGTGCAGCTTGTATTTGGAGGCAGCTTTTAAAAAATAATCTTATTTTTAAAAATATGCCACCTGCCCTCAGTGAAGTTTGATTATTAAGGAAACAGATGTGTGTGTGTTTAATTCAATTGGAGACGTAAATGGCACTAGCACAATAAAAACTATAGTTCTGTTCCCTCTCCTTTGTCCTTGATAAAAACCAGGCCTAGAAGTCTTGACCCTTCTGGAGGTTTTTCTTCCCTAGCCTCAGCTCGCCTCCTTGGCGTGGAATCACATTAACGTACACAAGATGATAGCTTCGAGTTCTTTGGGAAAAGAAAGTACTTTAAATATAAATATAAATACGCAGGCTTTGATTTCTGGAGACAGACAATATTTGGTATTTTTTCTGTACGGTTAAGGTCTAGGAAACAGCAAAGCGGGCGTCATCCAGTCTCACAAAATTGTGTGCTATGAATAGCAGATAGGGAGTGCCAAGGAAGATGTGCCGCCTGGATCTGTGGTTTGCCACCGCATCATTCAGCCTACCAGATGGTGGGGCAGGGAGGTGTAGCCCAGCAGCTTCGTGGGGACGCAAAGCGCAGGCCATGGTGTGGAGTCCAGAATGTTCTGTGGTCAGACACAGGTTTCCTCTCTTTTCCTAACCGTCCCCTTCCATTTCTTGGGATACAAAGAGAAGTGTGTAAGCCTGTTAACTTATATATGTTGTCAAATTGTCCAACAGACCTTTTTAATCACAATTAAAGTGTTTTCATAGGATAAGATACTTTATAAAGAAAGTCAAAAGATAAGCACACTTACCAGGTCACACCTATTAGGATGGCATCTGTAAAAAACAAAAACAGGAAACAGCAAGTGTTGATGAGAATGTGGGGAAACCTGACCCCTCGTGTTCCACTGGCAGGAATGTAAGATATAGCACAGCTGTCTAGGAAAAGAGTGCGAAGGATCCTCAGAAAATTAAACATAGCATTACCATGCGATCTAACGATCTCAAAAGAATATCCCAAAGAATGGAAAACAGGGAGTCAAGTAGGTATTTGCACACATGTTCCCAGTAGCATCGTGCACAACGGCCAGGAGGGAGAAGCAGCACAAATGTTCATCACAGATGAATAAACAAAATATAGCAGACACATACCGTGGAATATCATCAGCCTTGAAAGGGATGGAATTTCCAGCATCTACTACGACATGGGTGAACCTTGTGGACATCGTGCTCAGGGAAGTTAAACTAGTCACAAAATGGCAAATGCTCGGGGCGCCTGGGTGGCTCGGTCTGTTCAGCGTCCAGCTCTTGGTTTTGGCTCAGGTCATGATATCAGGGTCGTGAGATCAAGCCCAGTGTGGAGCTCTGTGCTCAGCCGGGAGCCTGCTTGAGAGTCTCTCCCTCTGTCCCTCCCTCCCATGCTTGCTCTCTCTCTGTCTCAAATAAATAAAAAAATCTTAAGAAAGGGGGGGCAGTGCTCTGTGATTCCACCTCTGCGAGGTCCCTGGAGCCATCAGATCCATAGAGACAGGTGGGCACTGGGGGACTGGGGGAGGGGGATTTAGTTCATGTCTAATGGGGGCAGAGTTTCAGTTCGGGAAGACAGAAAGTTCTGGAGATGGTGATGCTGAGGGTCGCACAACCATGTGAATGTGCGCAGTGCTGCTGAATGGTACACTTAGAGATGGTTTAGATGCCACATTTTATGTTAGTAATGTTATGTTATTTAATGTCACAATTAAAAAAAAGATAACCAGACTGGGAGAACCATTAGCAACATGTTGGTGGACCAAAGGTTCTTACTTTTAATGAAGAGCTCCTACACCTTATAAGAAAAAGGCAAAGCATCGAATAGGAAATTGGGCAAAGATGTAAATGGTAATTTGCAAAAGAGGAAATGAAAATGGTCCACATATTATATGAAAATATGTTTATCCTCAATACAACTTAAGGAAATTTAAATATAAACCACACCCAGCAGATTGCCAGAAATTAAAAAGATGAATAACACATCCAGCGCTCGGGAGAACTCAGGGAGGTGGGCACAGACCCACTCTGCTGGTAAGCATGTGAGTTGGTCACAGTCTTTTGGAATGTAATCTGGCAATATCTATTAAATGACAAATATGATTTGATTTGTTTTGGGGATTCACATATATAAAAGTAAAGATATACAACAGTATTTATAGTGGCAAAAACTGTAACACCTGTAAATCCACTGATAGGGGAATGGTTTCATAAATTATGGTGGATCTGTAGCATAGAAAATTACACAGCTACTTAAAAATGAGTTAAATGTCTGTTTCCTGCACAGGAAAAATGTCTCTTATGTGATAAGTAGAAAAAGTAAGTTGCAGAGCAGTGGTTATAATACGATCCTGTTTTCTGGAAAAGCCTATATATGTGCTCCCCACTCCCACCCCCAGCGGATGACCAGAAGGGACAATGACAAGCACCACTCGTATCTTTTAGGGGAACTAGGGGCAATTTGGAGAGGGTATATATGAGGGGGATTAACTTGTGTTTAAAGATCTTTGTTTATTAAAGCAATCTTGTGTTACTTTTGTAATAAAACTTATCTAACAAAGGCATTTCAGAGTCTGCTGAACTGATTGGGAAAGGCAGATCTGGTTTCGGCCTGCTGACCCAAGTGCTGATCTTTACCAGCCAGGACTCCAGCCAAGCCCGAAGCCCCCACAGGGGTGACCCTGAGGAGCCATGAGACCCCTGTTCTGGTTTCAGATGGAAGCTTTGAGGTGGAAATGTCTTTAGGTGTCTCAGGTGGGTGGTCAAGCAGATAGTTGGTACCTGGGGTGGGGATAGTATTGGGCAGGGAGCTGGACAAGAACCTGTGCACAGGAAGGCAGGGAGTGGGCGCTGGGGCTGGGGGAGGGGACGGCACCCTGTCCCTCCCAGACGGCCTTCCAGCTCCAGTAAACAGCATCTGTCGATGGAGGAGGGGCCTCAGTGGGCCCGGCTGTGTGGGGAGAGGGGCTAAGGCCGAATCTGGAGGAAAGGCCAGCTGGGGTCAGGTCTAAGGCCACGCACCGCTGCCTCTCTCTTGTTTTGGCCCTTCCCAGGGTGCTGCTGCTGGTCCTCAGTTGGCACAGTCTCTGAGCCCCCAGCATGTGAAGGAACCTCCCTCCCTCCCTTTCCTCTTCTCTCTCTTTCCCTCCTCTCTTCTCTCCCCCTCCTTCCTTCTGTCCTTCATTGCCTTCCAAAGCTTTCTTGAGGTATGAAGGAAGCCGACCAAATAAGTATTTTTGTTGGAAGTGCTCAGAACAGTTTTTTATTTTCATTTTCGTGTTTAGTGATCACAGGCTGAGTCTGTCAACCACAGGTCATGATCTACTGGGGTACCCAGCATGCTGTGGAAAATTTGATAAACAGAGATCCTCTGTTTTATTGCTCTGAGAAAAATAGAATAAGCTGTAATTTGACCACTGGTGGACAATGAAAAAGTATAGTTGGTTTGAAAAGAGATTAAGTAGTAGCAATAAAACCTCTGTCATATGAGTTGTGACCACCTGGAGAGCCTGAGAAAGCCTGTGGGGTCTGGACAGCCTGAGGCCCCTCTGGCCCCTGTGGGGTCTGGACAGCCTGAGGCCCCTCTGGCCCCTGTGGGGTCTGGACAGCCTGA